TGGGAATGCGAGTGGGGCCGGGGTTTGCTGAGGCTCTACCCCCGGCCAGGGGGGAAATCGGGGCGGGGGACGGGGTACGGAAAGGCTTTGCCCCTGCCAAGGGAATTTTCAGGGTGGGGCCACTCCGGAAGGGCTGGGGGCCCCTCCCTGGGGACCGGCGCGTCCGGCATCGCTGCTGGCATGTCAGGAGGGGGAGTCTGCTGCCCCTCGTCCCCCGGGGAATCTCACGCTGAAGCCACAAAATCGTCACAACTGTTCCTCCCAGTCTCGCTGAGTTACCACGGGGTGCTCTTGATGGGGGAGAGGAGGGTGGGTGTCACCCCTTCTTGTGCCAGAATTTGCTGTCACTTGGGGTGGGAGCAGAAGAATACAGGAGTAACCGGTTTATGTCCCGAAAGTTGGAAATAAGCATCACAAGCTCATTTTTCCTCTATTTACCAGGCCTTGGTCCTGCAGCATCATCCGCAGTCCGGCCGTGGAGGGAACGGAGCGTGCCCACCACGGGGACAAGCTGAATGTCACCAGCCAGGACCTGTCTGCGCCCTCTGCCGCTTCCAGAGGCTGCTGTGTCAGGGCTGTCCCTGCCGAGGGACTCTGCTGTCCCCACGTCCCGTCCCGGGCCCCACGCCCTCCCCTGTCTGGACAGCTGCCCCTCCCGGGGACAAACAGCCGCCACATGTCACTGCTGAATCCCTCACATTCATGAGTCTTCCTCTGAACACCCACCTGTCCCGCAGCCTGCTCCCTCCACAGTGCCCCGCTCGGGGGAAAGCAGCCCCTTGTTGACAAGCCCAGCCCCCCTGCTCGTCCCTCGGTGACACGTGTGGGGACAGCCCGGCTGGTGGCACCTGCAGGGGATGGAGGGGATGGAGGGGATGGAGGGATGCCCTGGCAGGGGGCACGGGGAGGAGGGGGGAGGGAAACCCCACGGGGGGGTCATTAGTGGGGTCCTGCCGGGTGAACCCCTCCTCCATTGAAGGGAAGGGTCATGTCCATGGGGTCACGGAGCAAAGGACACCATGGAGGGGCAGAAACACGGGAGTGGGGCAGAGCATCCCCTGAGCAGTGTGGGCAAGGAGGGAGCTCAGGGTACCCCCAGAGTGGTCCCTGGACTGGGAACCAGCAAACTCGTGGGTCAGGGTACCCGGTTTGGTCCCCAGATGGGAATCCTGGTGGGTCAGGGCACAGAGGGTGGTTGCAGCAGGGCACCCAGTGCAATTCACAGACTGGGCCCAGTGCCTTGCTGGGGCACCCAGTATTGTCCTCAAACTGGGATCCAGCACACTGGGAACTGCTCGGCCACCAGCACCTCTCTGTCATCCCTCACCTTCCTCCCAGATCAAGCCTGCAAAGACAGTTAATAACCCAAATAAAACAGATTTTAGACCTGCATCATGATCCCTGATTTCCTGACAGGGAACCCGGGGCCCTGGGATGGGTGAGAGGAGGCACCGGTGGTGCTGAGCCCCCTGGGGTGGGTGAGAGGAGACACCGGTGGTGCTGAGCCCCCTGGGATGGGTGAGAGGAGGTGGTGCTGAGCCCCTTGGGGACAGGAGAGCTGCAGGAGCAGCCCGGTCTCACTCCCTCCATCCCAGCAGGGAACTCAGACTGGACGAGCTGGCTCTTTCGGGACAGGGAGGGGATGCACAGCAGGACATCATCCCCCACCTGTCCCCAGGGGCTGGACCCCAAACCAGCCCCAATCCCCAGCGGGACGAGAGGTGGATGTACAAACCCCCTGGGGCTGAGGGGTCCCGGCCGGGCAGCTGTCGCTGTCCCGAATGTCGGAACGTCGGAAATCCCGAATGTCGGAGGAGTCTGCTCCGCATTCCTCGGGCCAGAGCGGGGACACGGCCGAGCATTTCCCCGCAGCCTGCAGCTGCTCCCAAATGTGTTACGGCTTGTCAGGGCGGCAGGAAGGGATGTCGGTGAGCCTGGAAAGCGAGAGGGGATGTGGGATGGAGCGGGGGGAGGGTGAATCCCGCTGGAAGTGGTGTTTTGGTGAGTGTCCTGTCCTGAAATCCTAGAGGGATGATTTCTGCTCAGCCCTGGCTTTCCCCCCTTTCTCCCTGTCCGTGAGATGGTCACCCCGGGGTGTAGATGCCGCTTGGGGCACCCAGATCTCGTCACCAGCCCCTAAACCCCGGTTTTTCTGCCCTGCCCAGTGGGAGCTGGCCGGATCCATCCCCACCATCTCTTGTCCAGCGTGGACACGGCGCAGCTCCACGCCCAGGCAGGGATGTGGGCAGCTCCCAGCAGGGAACAGGAACAGGCACGGCTTAGGGACACTCCCCGGGCCGTATCCCCAAAACTCAGCAAATTCAGACCATCAGGGGCGGTGGGAAGGGAAAACAGCCGGGGCAGCCCCTGGGTGTCTCCGTTATCCCGCTCCGTGGAGCTGCCCCGGAGGAGCACGGCCAGGCTCTCCTCGCTGTGATTTTCTCAATGGAAGGGTATTTTTAGCTCTGGGCTCGTGGCCTGGCTCCCCCCGGCTGTGTCGGGGTGAGCAGTCCCGGCGGGGCCCCCGCGCTCGCCCCGTGACGGATGGCAGCACGTTGTGCCCGGGGCTCACACAGCGTGGCTTTGTGCTGCCTCCCAGCCGCCAGCATCCATCACGGGCTAACCTGACAGCCGGCAGCGCTGCCCTAATCCCCCTGGGCTCCGGAATCCTCCCGGCAGCAGCTCCGGGAGAAGCCCCGCTCGCCCATCCCCAGCAGGTGCCCCGGGGGATGGGGTGGCCACCATGGGAGCTGCCCTGTAGCCCATACACGGGCCCTTGATGAGGGCTGCTTGCCCAAAGGGATTCACTGTCCTTGATTTGAAATCTGCTGGGATGAGCCCACGGGACCCGCAGACTCCATCGTGTGTGCCCAGGAGGGATCGCCGGTGGCACGGAGGGGCTGGAGGGGCTGCAGAGCTGCTGTGGGTGGGCACAGCGTTATCCCTGCTTCCACATCACTGGGTCAGGCCTCCAGAAGGAGCTGGAGCGAGTTCCCTGCTGGGGCAGTGCAGCTCCCAGTGAGGTCCCTGTTCCCAGTGCCCACCCCACGCTGAGCCCTTTCCCCCCATCTCCGTGAGCTGTGTCCTGCCTGCCCTGCATGCTCGGCTGTGAGGACACTGCCCTTGGTGGCCCGCTGGGGCTGGCTTGTCCCCCTTCTCCAGCTGGGGACACGTGGCCAGCGCTGCCCCACCAGGGCTGTCCCTGCTGCTCTCCTGAGCGGGTCAGCCCCGTGCCCACGGAGCCCATTTGTCACCACCGTGTCCCTCACCCCACAAACCTCATCCTGCAACTCCAAAAAGCCCTTTTATACCACGGTGGTCCTGACACCTCTCTGCCATCCCTGACACACCCAGGGATGTGGCTGCAGCTCAAGGGGCTCGTGGGGGTCGTGTCCACCAAGTGCCATTGACAAAGGTTCCCACGAGTGACTCGATCTCTCGATGTGATGGTGTGGGGCTGGCATGAAGACCTCTGGCTCAGGTTATCCACTCCTAAAGCCTTCACTCCTGCCTCTGCACACCTGAGGAATGAATCCTGCCTCTTCCCAACCTTTTTAGTGCGGTTTCTTTAGGCGAGGGCCAAGCTGGTGATCTGATTTCTTTCCTTCTTGGGTGTTTCAGAGTTTTACTGACTGTGGGGAGCACAGGGGCCATGCTGAGGGTGAACCTCAAGGCTGCAGGTCCTGCTTTCCTTAGTGCAGATTTTCAGAGATGTTAAAGTCATGGGGGTAGCAAATCCGCAGGGTTGGGGCCCCAGGAAAGCAGGAACTGGCGTGAGGAGGTGTTGGAAAGCTCTTGGCCCCAAAGAAATCACGACAAGGAGAAAAGAGGATGGTGACATGTTCCAACAAGGCCAGAAATCAATCCCAAGGGGGCAAGGGTGCTGATGGTGGGCACAGGGAATGTGCCACAGAACAGCCTCTCCAAGGAGGGGGAATTTGGGGAAGGAAAATCCCAGCAGGGTGGGCCCTGCACTTTGCTGACATTCTTTCCACTGACCGATCCCTCAGCTGGAATCTGGCCTGGAGCAGGAATAGGAGGAGATGGGAGATGGTTTCTGATGTTCCAGATGGAAAAAAAAAATCCACTCTGAATTAAAGACAAAGCTGGAGAGATGCAGCCAAGCCTCACTGGAGTGAAGGGCTGGAGATGACTCAAAATCTCGCTCACACTGCTGCTGCTGCTGGTGTGCCTCAGTTTCCCTGTCGGGAACGCATGAGCATTGTGTCTTTTCTGGGAGAGGCATTGGGGCTTTAGCTATCCACAGGTACAGAGGCCAGCCCAGGATGGAGGGAGGGATGAGGCAGTGCCAGCTGGGAGGGGTCGAGCCCAGCCTGGCTCTGCTGGAACACGTGGCAGAAGGTGTCCTTTGGGTTTGGTGAGTGGGAGAAGCCACAATGTGAATTTTGTGACAAAAATGTGATGAAGGACTTGGCTGGCCACCTTCAAGAGGCCCACGGGAGAGGAAGGGTTGGGTTTGGCTCTGTCCTGCCTGCCCCGTTCCTGCGGTTCCAGCAGGTCCAGCGGCTGGAACCGAGAGCAGGGAGAGGGGCATCGGCAGGGCCGGGGCTGGAGCCGGGGGTGCTCCCTGCACCGGGATCTCCCTCCCAGGCCTGGGTTCCGAGGCTTCACCGGGAGCGGGATCGGTGTAGCCTGGAGCGGCAGGATGGGGCCGGGAAGGGGCAGTGCCGGGCTGGTTCCAGCGGGGAAGGCGCAGCTTTGGGATGCCGTGGGATTCGGGAGAGCGGAGTGAAGGGATGGAGGTGCCGCAGGATGCCGGGGGGAGCTGCACCCGCCCGGGGTCCCCAGTGACACCTCGGGGCCCCCACAAAGCCCCGGCCGAGCTTTCCCCGGCCGTGCCAGTGTCCCCTCCAGCCCCGCCGGGCCGGGCACTGCAATCCCCGTGGGGAGAGCGCAAAGAATCGGCCGGACAAGTTTTCATGTGAGGCGGCAGCTTAGGGTGGGCTCAGGTTTCCTTTGGGTTTTCTATATTTATCTCCGCGATTTAATGCCAGCACCGAGCAGTTGGCGCGGGGAGAGGGAGCAGCAGCAGCCCCCGAGCCGCCCATGGAGCTCTTCGAGACCAACCCCTACTTCTTCCCCGAGCAGAGGTTTTTCGATGGGGAAAACT